AATTTCCAGTTACTTAGAGACGGTACTCGCTGTACACTTTTATGTTGTACTTTATCTACATAAAACATATTTCGTAATACATTTTTAACACTCACCCAGAAAGAATGATGCGCACTGTCCTCAGTCACTGGCCGTCGCAATTTGTTCTCGTCTGTTATTTCTTTATCACTACCGTTCACACTATCAAACAAGTTATTAAATAAATGAACTACTTTCGCTGTAGCCAGTCCTTCATCCGCATTAATTTGGATTTGTTCGTCATTTATTGTCACAACACCTGTAACAAATATATTAACATTAATAATTTCATGTTTCTTATATGTATGTCGTGAAGTCCGCTTTAAATAAAAATTTGTTTACTATCATTTGTATTCTCTGAATACAATATAGTTTAAAAGAAGATAAAAATTTATGTCATTAAAAAAGGCTCAATTTTTACAACATTTTTGAAAACATATATGTTTCCTATTTATAACTATACTTACATTTTGATCTAACTAATGTTTCTACGAAACTGCCCACTGTTCCACTTAACACTTGAGCCGCATGCTTCACACGCATTTTCTTAATTTTATCTTCTACTATATGTTCTACGGTTAACTTATTCAATAGTGGTCGGAACTTGTTCATGTTTCTGTCCATTATCCACGCCGTTTTAATGATATCCCACGATGCTATTTCTTCAGATGTATCTTCTTTCTTCAGTACTAGATCCTTTGTTAATAAATTATTCCTGATCCCCTTAATGAGATGAGGTGGATCGTACAATGGAATAATTTCATAATTTCCTACTTCGAATGTTTGCCCTACGAATTACAAATCACGAATTACAATTAATTTATCACATATTAGTAGGACATACTTGTAAATATTACTTGTTATAGCATTGTTGTGTTACATTACTTACTTTGTGTTCTTCTCTGGAAATTTCGTGTCATATCAGTGCGCAATAACAGTTCCGTTATTGCACTGACATTACATGTTCCTTGGTCGCAAACTGTTGCAACGATGTGGAAGCCTACATTGTTCACCGTAGAAATATA